TCCTGTTCGGCTGTGGGCATTGCGGTTCCAATCAAGAAGTATCTCTCCTCTTCACCATCCACTAAGAACACCTTTCGGAGGTCTTTTACCGATCAGTCCGAGGGTCATCCACTCCTGGACGCCCGAACTGTGATTGCTATTTTTCCAGGATCTCTTCCAAGACACGTCCCTTCTCTTGGGTGGAAACCCCGGCTCTCACAGCCGAGTAAAAATAGTTTTTGCGGATGCTTGGTCCCCTCGGATCTTCATTATCCCTTCTAGTGCAGCAAATTTTAATTTTTGATGATAAGTGGAGTGCATCGCTCCCAACGCATGCAACCAAGCTCGCCCCATGATTACATTGTAGGGAGAGTCCGTATTGATCACAACAAACTCGGTGTTGATGGTGAAGGGACCCGTGACAACTGACAATGTGATTTTGCCTATAGGCAAGGCAAATGAGCCGTTAAATCCGACGAGGGGCATCCTGACCTTGGTGAGGTCCTTGAGGCCAAAGCCTATTCGCTTTAAAGTCTCTAAGTACATCACTTCAGAGGAACTCCCAAAGTCCACCAACACCCTCTTGACGTNTTCGCTTTAAAGTCTCTAAGTACATCACTTCAGAGGAACTCCCAAAGTCCACCAACACCCTCTTGACGTCAAACTTGTTTATCTTCAGAGTTATGATTAGGGCGCCGTTATGGGGAGTCACCACGCCTGCCAAGTCTGCGTCGGAGAAGGTGATACCCGGCTCGCCAATCTTGGCCCTCTTGCTGGGCGGGCCCCCATCACTCTCGGCAATTTTTCTCGTAAAGGCTACCCTCTTGAGATCGGACTCAAGCTCCTTGGACGTCGGACGATCCAGTGGACATACATGGATCACGTCTATGACATTGTCTTGCTCCACGGCCGGGGCAGGACCGCGTCTCTCTTCTGACTTGGGTTTGATGTATTCTTTCAAGTAACCGTCCTGGACTAGGCTTTCCAAGAAAGACTTGTATACCCTGTAATTTTTGGTGCGATGGCCGAAATTTTGGTGATAGGAACATTTGACCTTTTGATCACGGGTGGAAGGATCACTCTGCATCCTAGGCGCCCACTTGAAGAATGGCTCATGCTTGATTTTATGGAGTAACTTGTAGATGAGTTCTTTGAAGATAGTGTGAACACCTTTAAATAACCCCCTGGAGGGGGTACCAGCCCCTTTCGGGAGGTGTCCCCCGCTTCTTTCTCTTTTCTCCTAGGTGGGAGAGTTCTGCCTTTGCTGCCCCCCATTTCATCTTCAATCCTAGAGTATTTTTTTATCTGGGCCATCAATTCGCCCATATTTACGGGTGTCTTCTTAGTCAGGGATTGGTTAGGTCCGTGTCCCTTACCAGGCCGAGCCTAAAGAATGTGACTGCCATGACTTCCGAACACCCCTCTACCTCATTGATCTCCTCCCAGTACCGGGTGGTGTACTGGTGAAGGATTTCCTGTTCCCTCCGCCCGAGCTTCAGTAATGACCCGATGTCTTTGGACTGCTTGCTCCCCGTAATGAATCGGGCTAGAAACTGCCTCGCCAACTCCTTCCATGACCTAATGTTGTTGGGAGGAAGAGTCTCGAACCACTTCAATCTCCCATACTCATGGAGAACACTCGGCAGAGGAGTTGTTGGTCCGAATTATACAGGGACATCATTTGCTTGTATTGCCTGAGGTGAGCTTCGGGATCGAATTGCCCATCATAAGTTTTAAACCTTGGCATGATGAACTTCTTTAGTACCTCCATCTCTCGGATATCCCTGGTAAAAGGTGATTGCATGGCCTCGTCTTCAGCGTCATCCTGGACAGCCTTGCCCCTTCTCCTGGATTCCAATCGGGCTTTGAGATTAGTCTCTACCTCAGAGGATGTCTTCTGAGGTTTCCAAGGTTATTGACGGGGTTCCCCTTCTCCGAGCGTCGCGTGGAAAGGGTTGAATCCTCCTCGGACTCATCTCCTTTCCCCCGCCTTGATAGTCCTCGCCGGAGGTCGTCTCAGACCAAAGGCCTTGCTTTCCTGGAATGATCGTCGAGGGGGTGCTCATTGGCTCTCGGGCACTTCGGGACCCTGGAGCTCTCAGCTTTGTTGTTTAAATGATTCCTCAAGTCCTCGGTTTCTGCTTCCCGGACGAGGCGTCCACTAGAACAGAATGAGTCCCTCGATCCTTCGTCGGAGGTGGCAAATTCGTTGAGCCAGCTTAGGACATTCACATTATCTTTTTCTAACTGTCGTAGTCGATCCCCAAACTTTTCTTCAATCACCTCTGCCAGTTGACGAGCCAAGGGGGCTGATCCCCCTGACCTGATNTTCACATTATCTTTTTCTAACTGTCGTAGTCGATCCCCAAACTTTTCTTCAATCACCTCTGCCAGTTGACGAGCCAAGGGGGCAGATCCTTCTAACTTAATGTCCATACTGGTTTGAGGAGTGTGCCCCCTGGTTTGAGGAGTGTGCCCCCTTGATTGAACAGAAACGTTCCTATTTTCATCAACGCGATCCCTCCCCCCACCATGACGAGGAGCTTGTAACTTGAGACTTCTTTGTTGGGGACCTTTCCCTTTTTGTCGAGTATTTACCATGGTCGCTGTTCTTTCGAGAGAAGAAACTAGGAAAACTAGTTCGTTTTCCACAGACGGCGTCAGATTGTGCGTGCACGATCTTGCACAATATAAACATGAGAACAAATCTATTTCGTGGTGAACACGTGTCTATCAATCGAGTGTTCGATCTTGCTACTTGGAACAGGTTGTGAGGGTTGAAGGTGGCCAATGAAGTGATGACGAACTGTTTTTAGGGGTCGCTTGAGCGATCCTAGAAGGCTGAGGGATGTTCCTGGAACAAAGAAAAATAAGTTAGAAGGGCGCTGGATTATTTTTCGACGTATCCCCTCCGACGATCAAGTCAGTTCTTTGAGATAAGGAAAGAAGAAAATATTGTATGATGGTTGAGAGAGGGTTTGTTGCGTACCTCCTTTCTGTGTTTGTGAGGACTATTTATACCTTAAAAACTCATCATTGCTGACAGTGTAACTAGTAGATAATCATTGGAGGGGGGCAGTGTACACACCAATTTCTATGAGGAATGTTCGTATTCTTTACTGCTCGGGACCCCGAGCAATTAATGCTTTCTCCTCGGTCTGCCGAAAGTTTAATGATCTTCCCTCGACAGGGGTGTATTAAATGCCCAGGTTTTGGGACATTTATTACCTTTCACTTCCAAGCTCTCATGCATTAAATGTTGTCTCATCAAGGGAAGGATGCATTAAATACTTGCTTTCCCAAGTCGTGTGTCAGCAATGACATTCTGGTCTTTTTGTCTCTGATCTGACACAATACGCCACGTGCTTATTCCCCTTTAGTTAAACCTTCTGCTTTCTTGTGCCTCCTGACACCATTTGAGTAAGACGAGGTCATGATGGCTAGTCTAGCCTAGCCTAGGCTAGTGATCTGTCCATCAATAGCCCCTACAGGAGCAGAAACGCCCACACGGATAGATACACCTATGTGCCGAGGGACTAGCATGATTTAGGACTGATATACCCAAACTGTCGAGGAATACGTGTCTGTCTGTGGTGGTTTGGGGATCCTTCATCCCTGTGAATAGCATCCTCGGGGCAAGGGGTTGGAAACCAACGAACACGTGTCGGGATCAAAGCGGAATAGTCTCATTGACGCCGAGTACACGTGTCATCATCTGGAAGTGTCTGAAAATGTCCCATCAAATATTATTCCTATATTTCCTGACGTTTGTGCACGTGTAACAAATAACTCATTGTCGTTAATATCTGTTAATATAACCATTAAAAATATGATTTTATTCTAATAAAAAATTATAATTTCATACTATTTTGTAGCCTCGTTATACTTTAAAGTTTAAAATTAAGTTTATCATTTAAATGTCCAATATAATGTTGGTATTTATATAATATTCTTTATATCTAATACAATATATCACTTAAATAAAATTATTTGAATGTCCAATTAGGGGAATATTTTTAATTATATTTGTATTATCAAGGAATATAGGTGTAATATTTCAAAAGTGAGGGTCTAGGTGATTAAGTGACAAACATGGGAGAGTCTAGATATAATTTATCCATTTAATTTTAAACGGCAAACTCACATCTATTAGTTTGAGATGCGCATTAATACAAATTTCTATCTTTAAAAGTACAAAATGAAAATTTTAATCTTTAACGATACAAATTGAGATTTGTACAATCTTTTAGGGTACAATTTGAGATTAACCCTTGATTGTTCACCAGACCATACAATTACAATAGATAAGCAAGTCGCCATTTGTGTCATAGAAGGGCAGAATATAGATAGTAAAAGGAATTTTTGTAAAGTTGAAAACTATACTTGATTGTGCCATTAAGAAACTGGAGATTTTCTTTTGACGGAAGTAAAGTAGGTAGGAGATACACTGAGCATGCACTTGTTGACAGACCTGATTCACGGTGAATGAGATATCAGGCCTAGTCATGAAACCATGCTTTAAGTAATAAAACTTATTTCATTCTACATTTGAACCATGCTAACCACTACGTTGAGAAGGAAACGAAGGTCCTGTCAGATTTTTCTTTTTCTCCTTGAGGTTGAGGAGGAGGAAGGGGAGGTGTTGCACCACTACGTCGAACCCATTTATCTTGCATCAAACTTGATAGTAAGGTAATCTCTGTACCTCAACAAACTGCCTCTTTGTCCAAGTAAAATTGTTCATTTATTTTCGAATTCAACATTTTTCTACCACTAAGCCAATGTTTTAGATGCTACATATTACAAAACTGAGTTCTATCACCAAAAACGTAACTCGTGCACGTATACAAGTCTGGGAAAGTAAAAGATGGCACCTCAAGGTGTATGACACCAAATTGACGAAATATTAAACCAAAAATGACAGAAACTACAGCAATTAGTATAATTCTTCTGTGTCGATTTCCTCTTTGAAGAACATAGGGAGCTTCTAAGAAACCTTGTGTAATCATATATTCGATATATTATACAACTCCAAGAAGCTTAGACTGCAACAGGTTCACCAACTGGACTAGAAATGTTAACTTTAACCTGCCTCGGAAAAATAACAGAAGTGCAAAATATTATTAACAAGAGATGACATCTGCTTGCTTAAGAATTAAATCTAGCTGCAAATATAGATGGAAATGTAGAGAGCAAATTTGTTGGAGCATATTATTTGTGTGAAATAGCTGATCTAATGTACCAGTGTAAAATGAGAGAGAATCTCAGTTCAGGACCTAAGGAGGCTTTCCTCCTTACCTGCAATTTGTACATGCACACATATAAGGGATTCTTACAAGCATTTGGCAGTCCTACCTATTATTCCCAAACTAGAGACTGCCAGAGCCTGATGTTTAAGTATTTTATTTGTAGCCACATTTGGACGAAAATCAACAAGCCGAGTATATAGCAGTGAAAGTATTAATGAATGTTCACCCTCCAGGGCCCCACCACAACCACTTTGAGCCAGCACTAGGAACAGAGTGANGTATTAATGAATGATCACCCTCCAGGGCCCCACCACAACCACTTTGAGCCAGCACTAGGAACAGAGTGACATCGGTATTCCATATTGGTAATGACGCAACTAGGTTATGTTTTATTTTTCTATCCCTGAACCTTCTATTGTAATTCTTGCTGAACCAGAGCCTTGACAGAAGGAATCAAGATATTACCTTAGCTGATTTGAAGAGTTCATCAAGAACTTCTGACAAGGTTGGATGTGCATGAACAGCAAATTTTATGTCCTGTAGGATGCAAGAGATACAACAAATGATAAAAATACGAGAATAAAATCAGTAGCATTCTGAATTGATGGATAAAATGTGAAGCAGCATGCAACAATTTGAAAACAAAAAAAAGGTCCTACCATTATTTTGAGATGCAGTAGCAACTTGCAAGAGAAGAAAGAAGAGTTGGATATGCCGACAAATATTGAAAATATTAATAGTCTTCTTAACCATTTGGAATTATTATATTTTTCATAACATGAAAATGAACCCATTCAATATGAAACTACCATTTAGCATTTCAAAAATATCCATTGAAAGGCTTCGGTGATTTTTATCATGCTAATCTGTTTGCACTGGCTCAATCTTTTATTTTTTATTTCTGGTTATTTGGAGAAAAAATGAGTATTGGAATTATCTCCTCCAATGAACATTTAGGTGCCTTCTCAGTTCGTAGTCCTCTTAAAAATAAATCACTTATGTTGGAGAAGTTCCAAAATGGAATGCATATATTCTTGTGGCTCAGGTTAACAACTTACAACCTTCCGTTTCATGTTCAAGATGAAGGTTGCTACACGAAACTGATAGTAGTTAATGTGTTCAAACATGTCAATTCAAACTAGACCTGTATACGAGAGCCCATAGCTATTGCATTGGACGCTTCATGAATGAGGTCTGCAGCATGCAATCCGAATATATGAACACCAAGGATCTCTCCACTGTCGGGTCTGTAAATCAACTGCATTAAAACAATATACTTCAATGAACACAATACATAATCCTAGTGTTGACCAGGAAGAAAACTTGTTGCATTCCAAACGAAATAAAAAGAACTATTCAACGTGAAAGGAAATATATATCACCTTAGCAAGTCCCTCCCCTTCATTTTCAGCGAGGGCCTTTGTGTTAGCCTTGAAACTAGTCTTAGCAACACTAATTTCAAATCCCTCCTTTTCAGCTTTTTCTCTCGCTTGAGGCTGTAAAAGTTGAAATTTATTCAATAAAAATTGGAAAATTAGGAAAAACAAAAAAGAAGAAAAACTCCTCACAAATGTCACCTTCTTACAATAATAAACTATGAAATAGTGATATTTCGTTAAGGTAGATGTATCTATATCCGAAAATGTATTGGATACAACACTCATTGGATACTCAAGGATGCGAAATGGATATGTGACATATGTATCCAATAATAAATAAAATATTTGGATATTTAGTGGATATGCATCCATAATGAATTTGCTTCGGATATGGAAGTCCATACCTAAAGCAATATGCATAGTTTCTAATTTCAATCTTTACTCATTTCTACCAATACAATGCAACACATAAAGTATACTTTGAAGACACGTAGGTGTTTCTTAAATATTATCTACTTTCACTTGTCAAAAGAGCATAATATGAGTTAATTACATCATATCTCGTCAAGAAGTACTTGTAAGCAGACCAACTAAAAATGTTGATTTTGACTCCTTGAATTAGTCACATTCACTTTGTTGATATAACGAAATAGGACGATGTAAAAAATTTTTTAATTAAAAATTACTATTTTTTTGTATAATTGTTGAAGAATAACAAAAAAATATTATTAAGTCATCAGATAATAGTNCAAAATAGGACGATGTAAAAAAATTTTTAATTAAAAATTACTATTTTTTTGTATAATTGTTGAAGAATAACAAAAAAATATTATTAAGTCATTTCTATTATCATTTTTTATAGTTTTTATAAAATAATGTTTGTATAGAAATAGTATATCGTATCCTATTTTTTAGGTTTTGCCACATCACTATATCCGCATCGTGTGCTACTAGTGTTCCATATGCTTCTTAGATAACAACCTATGAATAATAAATGCTTTCCAATATCAAGTCGAATATAATTTTATTGAACCATGCCAAAAAGATGAATATGCTTTGTCAAATGGTTTCTTCAATTCAACAAAGAGCAAGGCTCAAGTGAAACAATAGAAGATACTATCTTGATACTTGGTACATTATTGTTGATGTTGTAGCCTTTCTTACTAATGAAGATGAGGCACCAACCTCTGACTAGCCAAAGGAGCAAAAGCATAGAAAAACCCCAACTACATCATTAAGGGAAGCTCTAAAATTTTCGCAGGTTGCATCATCATCATCCCTGTTGGGTAAGTATGACTCGTTTTGGCTGTTATCTGCAGAGAATTGCCAACTTGATAACCAGCTCGCATTCACGATTCTTGTGCATACATTATTCACACTGTTAATGGGTTGGGAGATATGATCTCATTACAGCCTTTATTTTGGATCAATCTCAGGGTTGTTTTAGTCAGCCTCCAATATAATCTTTTTTGTAACCCCTCCCTCATTCTGGTGTCAAAACGTAGTCGATTACCAACAGCTCGGTCGTTGTCAGTATAAAAATATTCACAATTCCAAGCATACTTTCTACTACTATCATCTGTTATTGAACCTCTTCCACACTTGATACATGAATTTCATAGTTTTGAGGGTTATGATTTGCTCATATAAGGATGTTGATGTCAGAGAGTTGTAACCTCCTCCCCACCTTTGATACCTGGATTTCCATCCAAGCTCCCATCTGGATTGAACATTACAAAACCAAAAGGTGTGCGNTACAGTCTCTCAACAAACCTCCTCCCCACCTTTGATACCTGGATTTCCATCCAAGCTCCCATCTGGATTGAACATTACAAAACCAAAAGGTGTGCGTGGCCACCTCTATTAACCACCAATGGTTACCTAAAATCAAGGATCAAAATTTCGTTTCGGTGCATTGTTTCGGTCATTTAAGAAACAGAAACGTTTCGATGTGTTTTAGAAACATTTCCACCCGTTTCGAAAATAGAATGAAAAAAAATAAAAAAATTAAGAATTATTTTTTCAAAATATTGATCGAAATATACTAAAATATCTTGAAATACCTTAAAACATTCCAAAATAATTGTGCAAATCCATTGAAATATAACAAAATATTTCAAAACATTATGGAACACCTCAAAATATTAGAATTTCGATTTCATTACTGATTCGTTTTCGTCTCCTTGGAAACATTAACGTTTCAGATGTTTCGACCGTTTCAAAAAGATATTTTGATCTTTGCCCGAAACCACTCGCCTCATGTGCTTTATTATCCTAAAGTTCCCAACTATGTAATTCAGTCTATGCCAACCTGAANGGGGGGGGGGGGGGGGGGAAAGCTCTCCAGTAACAAAGCACATGAACCCAGGTAATACAGAGTCAATATATATACACAGAATTAAAGCAATTAAGAAGACTCTTTTGTGTTTCCACAAATAACTAACGGTTTGTAACATACTATAACAATATGAAAGGTTTAAAGAATGGAAAAAAGGCTACAAATAATGCAAAAANAATTAAGAAGACTCTTTTGTGTTTCCACAAATAACTAACGGTTTGTAACATACTATAACAATATGAAAGGTTTAAAGAATGGAAAAAAGGCTACAAATAATGCAAAACAATATCAAGAAAACGTACATAGATAAAAAAAAAAATTAACAATTCGTAAGCCAAAAATATACCTCTGTTAATCCAACCATACTGATTTCAGGATGAGTGAAACATGCTGCTGGAATGCTCAAATGATTCAGCACGTGGTCCTTCCCGCAAACTTGCTCAACAACTAGTAAAAGAAAATATTCCAGGGGTCAAATTTTCACACACATGATGAAAAGTTGAGGCAGGGGTTGTTACCAGAGATTCCTTGTGCACTTGCTGCATGAGCAAGCATCATTTTCCCATTTGCATCACCAATGCAATATAAGTGAGGAACCTAATCATAAGATGCTCATGTCAGCGACATGCAGATGCATAGAACATCACAAAAAATCAAAGGAAGCTCATGACCAACCAACTCGCCATTTGCGTCAATCACTCGCATGCGTTCATCAACTGGAACAAATCCACGTTGTGTTTGTACATTAATCTGTTAATAAATTTAGCACATTAAATGATTATCATTTCCAAAAGTATCGTATATTAGGAGCTTTAATTCATTAATATCTAGCGTACTTACTTTATCCAAACCAAGTCCCTGCGTAAATGGAGCCCTTCCAGTTGCAATGAGGGCAGCATCTACCTGCAAACATAGGTCAAAAATTATGCAAGGAGGTGACAAGATAGCAATATATTACAGAAGACAAAAACATACGGAACTGGCACAACATAAAAAAGAGGTAATGATCTGATAAAATATCTATCTTTTTGGAATCGATTTCCCTTGCTCCAGGGATGCGGCTATGAATTGGCACCCATTACAACTAAATTTCTTCCACTATGAGAGAGAAATTTATAACATCCCAAGAAGAATTAGCTGAGTACTGGTTTGCCTATCTTGATATATATATGCTCACTGTTTTTTTTTAGGAAATGATATAGGTGGCAGCTCAAGCATGCATTTTATATCCATTTAAGCAAAAAAGTCGGTCAGGACTTGAATTAACGGGTGCATAACAATATGCAAGCTCCAATCATATTTGATTATGGGCAATAAGGAAAGCCAACGAGAGCAATTCACTAAAACACAAAGCCAATGGCCTGCGACTTAGAAAAACCGAAACTCTGAAGAAATGGATGAAGCAACCCCCATAGACAAGGTAGGTTCTGATATAATATAAGAAAATATCAGTTGAGTGACAAAATGAAAATAAATGCAAAGCTCAAGTCTGATTTTCTGGTTGACAGTCAGCCAAGAACGGCAAAAGTATAAAATTGGGTACAGCTGCTACAAATATATGTGGCCGGGGATAGAGGAAACAGATCTTAGTTGATGGAGATGAACCCCCAATCTATTCGTTCCTTGCATTTATTGTATATGGAAATCTACCCTACTATTTGTTGACATTTAAATCTAGTAGAATTCTGCTCTATTTCATCACATGCAATGGACGTGTGGCCTAATTTAGGACTTACAAGACTCAAAGGTTTGTTTAAAATAGATGCTTGTGACTTACCTCCAAAGTATCCTTTGGTTCCTTTGTCTTCGCATCAATAAGCTCAATTGTTACAGGTTTTCCATCCTTTGCTGGAGTGATCTGTTACAAGCATTTTTCATACATATATCCAACACTGAACATGTTTCTTGTCATATTGGTATGCAAGCTAAAAGAACCAAACATGAGACATAAAGTACCTTGCTTGCATATACACCGGTATGATAATCTATTTTTCGAGGATTTATAAGAACCCGCTGAGCCAATTTCCCAATCTCAGGATCAAATCCAGGCATGAGCTGATCTAAAGCTTCAACAAATGTAACCTGCTCAATTATCCTTTAGTCAGCTTAATGACGTAGGTATACTCCACTCGTAAACAGTCACAAGTGAACAGATATATGTTTCAAATCATACTAGGCAAGCAAAAGAGGCAGTTAGGCCCATGAAAGAATGGGTGATCTAAGAGGGGAACATCTTGTTGCAAGAGAGAAATTGGAACCAACTGGGAAACCTCGTATCATGGAAAATTATGTTTCAGTAGCAACTCTTTCCATAGTTTTTATGTTTCTTTCAAAACAGGAAAGCCTTCCCACCAAAAACTGCTCCCTCTTACCATAAGCTTTTCAAACTCTATTTTCTTCTTGAAAAATCAAATTAACTTGACATGAAGGATTCTAAAAATGATGACTTGTGCCCACCTCACTTCCAAGTGCTGTATACACATCGCTGAATTCAAGACCAATGTAACCACTTCCTACAATAGCAATCCACTCAGGAACAAATTCCAATTTGAGTGCGTGATCACTAGTTATCACAGTTTTACCTGCAGGAAACTTCTCAGTAGTATCCCCCATGAACACCAGGAAACAATATATTTTCTCAAGGCAATATGGCAAAGAGGCATTGAAGGTTCTCAGCCAAATCATGGAAAAAAAAACTGAAAGGAAAAAAAGGTTCTGGGAAGCAGAATTAAATAAAAAAATCGTGCATGTTTGCTTCTTTATATGAAATGAAAATTTTGTTTGATATAATATAAAAAATCTAATTGCTTCTCCCTTCTTTGCACTATCAAATATTTTGTGACCCTAAATGTCCCTCTACAATGAAGCTAGCCATAGGAACTAAAAAGTGCAAGGCTGATCATTGAGGCCTTAAAAAGTTCATACAATGAATGATTGGCCATTCCATCTATGCATTTAGGAAGNCAACAAATGTAACCTGCTCAATTATCCTTTAGTCAGCTTAATGACGTAGGTATACTCCACTCGTAAACAGTCACAAGTGAACAGATATATGTTTCAAATCATACTAGGCAAGCAAAAGAGGCAGTTAGGCCCATGAAAGAATGGGTGATCTAAGAGGGGAACATCTTGTTGCAAGAGAGAAATTGGAACCAACTGGGAAACCTCGTATCATGGAAAATTATGTTTCAGTAGCAACTCTTTCCATAGTTTTTATGTTTCTTTCAAAACAGGAAAGCCTTCCCACCAAAAACTGCTCCCTCTTACCATAAGCTTTTCAAACTCTATTTTCTTCTTGAAAAATCAAATTAACTTGACATGAAGGATTCTAAAAATGATGACTTGTGCCCACCTCACTTCCAAGTGCTGTATACACATCGCTGAATTCAAGACCAATGTAACCACTTCCTACAATAGCAATCCACTCGGGAACAAATTCCAATTTGAGTGCGTGATCACTAGTTATCACAGTTTTACCTGCAGGAAACTTCTCAGTAGTATCCCNACATAAAGTACCTTGCTTGCATATACACCGGTATGATAATCTATTTTTCGAGGATTTATAAGAACCCGCTGAGCCAATTTCCCAATCTCAGGATCAAATCCAGGCATGAGCTGATCTAAAGCTTCGACAAATGTAACCTGCTCAATTATCCTTTAGTCAGCTTAATGACGTAGGTATACTCCATTCGTAAACAAACACAAGTGAACAGATATATGTTTCAAATCATACTAGGCAAGCAAAAGAGGCAGTTAGGCCCATGAAAGAATGGGTGATCTAAGAGGGGAACATCTTGTTGCAAGAGAGAAATTGGAACCAACTGGGAAACCTCGTATCATGGAAAATTATGTTTCAGTAGCAACTCTTTCCATAGTTTTTATGTTTCTTTCAAAACAGGAAAGCCTTCCCACCAAAAACTGCTCCCTCTTACCATAAGCTTTTCAAACTCTATTTTCTTCTTGAAAAATCAAATTAACTTGACATGAAGGATTCTAAAAATGATGACTTGTGCCCACCTCACTTCCAAGTGCTGTATACACATCGCTGAATTCAAGACCAATGTAACCACTTCCTACAATAGCAATCCACTCGGGAACAAATTCCAATTTGAGTGCGTGATCACTAGTTATCACAGTTTTACCTGCAGGAAACTTCTCAGTAGTATCCCCCATGAACACCAGGAAACAATATATTTTCTCAAGGCAATATGGCAAAGAGGCATTGAAGGTTCTCAGCCAAATCATGGAAAAAAAAACTGAAAGGAAAAAAAGGTTCTGGGAAGCAGAATTAAATAAAAAAATCGTGCATGTTTGCTTCTTTATATGAAATGAAAATTTTGTTTGATATAATATAAAAAATCTAATTGCTTCTCCCTTCTTTGCACTATCAAATATTTTGTGACCCTAAATGTCCCTCTACAATGAAGCTAGCCATAGGAACTAAAAAGTGCAAGGCTGATCATTGAGGCCTTAAAAAGTTCATACAATGAATGATTGGCCATTCCATCTATGCATTTAGGAAGTAGGCAATGCAATGTTTCAAAATGATACCAATTGCTTGGATGCTTTTGAAAGTCTAGAGATGACTTGCAGGAAAAATTATTTCGAGGTTTGTCTTCTGTCATCATGAATTTATCAGATCAGTGCCTTGCAGCTAATAATGGGCAGAACGCCCATTTAGCCAGATGGGGTCCCAACTACAACTATCACATGCACTGTAAGCTTATGATTAGTGCTCTGATGGCCAGGTATGGTTTAACTGTATTGAAACTGATCCCTGTGAATCTGAATGTTCCATTATATTCTTTTTCTTTGATTTACACAGAGCTTGAAAAAGAAACAAAAAATGCTAGCAGCAGCCACTGTTTGCAATACCAAAGTCACTGCATGAATATCTCCAAGCAAAAGTTAAGCAGATCCTAAACAATATCATTTTGTAGAGAAAGTAATGCTGGTATTGCCCCAGACATATAGCATCTTTAAAGTTGTCTCATAACATCTACTCAACTACCCAGACGTAGCAGCCAGTTGATTTGTTAAACCAGGTTATCCTATCAACAGGTGCATTCAAACACCCATATCAACAAACATTTTAACATTTTTTGAAAAGATTATATTTTAATTTACAGAGCATGACAGAGATAGTGGGCACGAAGAAGTCGAAGCAAGTGTTACATATAAGTAATTTCAGTGGAATTTCCCCATTTTGCAGTCGTTCATATGATGTCCAATCGAAAATTAGCTTGATTTTATTGAAATTAATTCAGTGCATTGATAAATACCTTTATTTGATCTTGACAAATTCAGTGCATTCTGACAATTTATCTTATCGAAAAGGGTGCATTCAAAACAGCCATACGAAATGGTTTTAGAAATCGTGAATTTACCCTATCGAAAATGGTTTTAGAAATCATGAATTTCAACCAACAGAGAGCATGAGGAATTGAAAGCATGCAACATCTCAATTGTATCATAAAAATTTCTCCAACTACAAATAATTTTGGATCCTGTTATGTATAGTCTTAACCAATTTAGCTGGCATTTCAGAATGGCTAACCAGCTCAATTAGAAGTAGATGCATGAAGAACAAGCACTTACCATCAACTTCAATTCCATTGGGGACAGAGGGTACAGAACCAGTAGCAATGATTATGTCTTTTGTTGTTATTATATTGTCACTGCCATATTTCACCTTTTGTGGGCCCTGAATACACACATAAAGCATATACGTTTAGTTTACAAATCATCATTTTCGGTGTCACGTTATATGTAATTCAAACAATAACACAAAATTGGTTTGCGATAATACCCTCAAATTTATTGAACACCGAAATTCATTTTGCTGGTATCATAATTCATGCATCATTAAAACAACTTACCAAAATCATTCCAGTTCCAGTCAATATATCAACACCAATAGCTTTTAATGAATTGGTCAAGTTAATTCGAATTTTGGAGGCAAGATTATTTGCATGATCAGCAACTCCCTGTCTGTCATACCCAGCAGCTGCGACCTGTCACAAGAGTACGTGTTGTACAAGGGCAATGTTCATGCACAATTGGAATACAATCAAAATGAGTCCAACAAAAAAACATTATGGGCATAATGTTCAAGGAGGTAGTTTCGCATAAGCTAACAGAATACATCATGCACTGTTTTGACAAATAATCTGTTCCAGTCTCAACAATGTAAAATTGAGCACAAATACATAATAAGACTATTTCTTCCAGGCTAAAATATATATGAATGACATCCACAATAGAAATTCTTTAAATAGTTGTGGAAAAGACCATTCTTGCAAAGAGGGAACAGATTAAAAACTGTAAGTTTCAGGAGTTGAAGATCCATCTGTAAGGATGCATCCGCAGATTCTTGAGAAAGCTAGAAGGTGATTAAATATCTATCCACAATCCACATATAAAGTAGTTTATTATCCCAAAAAGATTATCCCCAAGGAGAATAACATTGCACTATCATCTTCTCTATGAGAGAGAAGAGTCTCATAAAACGCCCATGTCTGGATTGAAATGCAAGCATGAACTTTCTTGAAAGGGTTGGGATCATCCATCAGGAANGGTTATCCCCAAGGAGAATAACATTGCACTATCATCTTCTCTATGAGAGAGAAGAGTCTCATAAAACGCCCATGTTTGGATTGAAATGCAAGCATGAACTTTCTTGAAAGGGTTGGGATCATCCATCAGGAAGGGAGTACTAAATAAGAATGAAGCATGGAAAATTAGAAAAAAAGATGACCAAAGAACTGAAATTCTACCTTTGTTGAAATGCAATTTCTACAAAAAAAATATATGGAGCCCCTCATTTATTCACTGGTCTGTAAGATCAACGATTTGTAAGATTTAGAAGTTCTTCTTGGAGAGAAGCGTAATGTATTTAACCAATGATCAAAATTTTGTTTTGCTATATTGTTTCAGTCACCTATCAACTTGTTTCGATCTAAAATACTCAGCTCATGAGCTTGGTCTTACTTCAATGTAGATAAATGAAAGAAGACTTCCATCTCCAAGTTTCACTTAGACGTAGCTCCCTTCTTTTTGGATAGGAAACAAAAACATTTCGACGCGTTTCAGAAACGTTTTGACCCATTTCGGAAACATAATGAAAAAAATAAAATAAAAATTTTAAGAATCATTTTTTCAATGTATTGATCGAAATATACAAAAATATTTTAAAATAATTTAAAACATTTTGAAATAATTGTGCAAATGCATTGAAATATTACAAAATATTTCAAAATATTATGGAACATATCGAAATATTAGGATTTCGATTCCATTACTGATTCATTTCAGTTGTCCCCTTGAAAACAATAATGTTTCGGACGTAGATCGTTTCAAAACGAAATTTTGATTATTGGATTTAACATTTTATTTTTATAGGACAGAAAACGCATGTGCAATAGGTTTCAACTTTTATTTAGTATCTTAATTGCTATTACTTCAAGATAATCTGTCAATTGACTCTATGAATTCACCTTTTTGTGTATAGAAGTTGATAGGTAGTTCATATCATCTATTAATCTCTAATGACTATGGAATAGTTGAAAATGAAAGATAATTTAATAATTTTTCTATTTTTAATTCATGCCACTTTGTGCTCACAATATGCAATTGTGCACTCTGAATATCGTATCGATCATAAACTTGAAATGTATTGAAGGTTCATAAATTAATTCTTCGGTTGAAATGATAATTCCCAATCCCACAGAAAACATAGGTCAATTATAAAGTATACCATTACTGCTTTGAAAGTCAGCATCAGCTTCCGTGGATGCAAGTACAAGAAATACCTGTAATCCAAAAGCCTTCATGTGGTGTTCGTTCTGAAGCTCCCGCATTCGACCACTCACAGCAAGAAGGGCTTTGGAAGGAACACAACCTCTATTTACACATGTTCCCCCAATCACATCCCCCTCAATGATAGCAGTTTTTAAACCCTGCAGGGGTTATTAGCAATGATCATATTCCAAAAACTGCNTATTTTGTGATGTCGTTTGGATCGGCCAACAACCATTACAACCACTTTGCTGTATTGGTTCTCTCTTCACTAATATGGTTTAAAGTTCTCAGCCGAAGCTCCCCTTCAATTTCCAAATAATTGATACATACTCTTCAAAACCTCAGAATATATGCACCAAAAAATAAAACTTTTGAATATTAAATCATCTGTCTAAATATATGAATTCTATTTACCTATGAAATAGGATAAAATTTGTTAAGGTGAATAAATTCTCATCATTAAAGAGAATTGAAAAAATTTCAATTATTAGTATAAGGGTATTGTAAGAGGCAAAAAATTGAAAATACCTCCCTCTAGAATTGAGAAATTGATATGTTTCTGAACTTGATCTGTCAGTCTTTCTCTTCCTACAAAATGAACAAACTGTCAAAGATCGAAGTGTTTCGATCGAAAGCACTCCGATACTTAAGTCAGTAAAGATAATGAAACGAATAGAAGAAGACCAAGAGAGTTCAGCGTACCTTTCACCTTTGATTCTTCTGGTTTTTATAGATGGTCAACCCCTTAGGATTTCCGTGATTTTTGACTTAAGGTGGCACACCTTCCTTCAATTTCGTAATTCAGTTTGGGAAGTTGCTGACATTTCTCCAATATTTCCTCTTGATATCTCCAATTTTTCTGATTCATTTATCTGATTTCCTAAATTATAGGCGGATTTTTATCTTTCTATCTATCATTTGAAATAGTTCAGACATATCGAATGCCGAGAACACTTGATTTTGCCAAACGGATTAAGAGACTTGGTTTGACACAAACCAATCTCTTCAATTACCTTGTCGAACACTTTAACGAACTTGACTTGGTACAAGCTGAGCTTTTTCCTTACTTAGCTGAATTAGGTTGATGAGCTGGGTTATAAAAGAGAACCGAACTCTTTCTTTCTTTGCCGAGCCTATCGATCAGCACGACTCGTTTTATAAGGCTGCGTGAATGATTCCTCCGTTACGTGATCTATCTTGTCAATCTCTCATGAGTTTCATTTAATGTCATTACATGTGTAATGATGAGGGCTAACCCTTTTATTTGCCCCCAGAAAACGTCTGACAGATGTTTTTTGTCTGTTAGCCATTTTCTTATCTTTTCATCATCATTAACTTGTACTTTGTGAAAATGCCCTTTCATTTTGGCGGCACATTCAGGGTATTTAAATATTACCCTTTAAAATTCCTCCTTTATAAACTGATTTTCTTCATATTTCATTCACTTCGTCTTATTGTTTTTAGACATACCCTTTTTTTCCGTGTTTTATTCCTTTGAACTTTGTTTTATTCAATGGCCTCTCTTACTCCCTCAGAAGTTTGTGCCTTCAAAATCAAGTACAACATCTCAGACGTTGTTGATGTTTGGGTTGCTATAAAGGATGAACCCCTAATTGGCACAAAAGAGAGAATCCCCATCCCTACTTGAGCCATCACCGAGGGTGGGATTCATTTTTCTCTTGATCCTCTTCTTCTTTGGGTTCTCTTTGTTGCAAAACTTTGTCATCTCCAATACTGCCTTAACTTTTTTTGGATCATCATGGGAGTGTCTTCCTTGAACAAGATTTTGGGTTTGAGTTTTGGGTTATGAGAGATTTTGTACTACTACATTATCAAGGCCACCAGAGATAGTTACTATCTATCGGTGAGGAAGAAGGAGAGGTATTTGGTAACCCACCTTCCAGATTCAAATAAGGGCCATGAGAATGACGTGGTGTTTGTCTCTGGCAACTAGGAATACGCTCCTAGTGTCACTCCATCCTATCGCTGCCCCTACGAAGAAGGCATGTCAGGTATTTGATATCCTTTGCCTCCTGTTTTAACTTTGGTTCTCCATTTTCTTAACTTTGGGTTTTCTTCTGCACAAGTGAAACTGTGAAGGGAATGATTGTTAAGTCCTCGATAAAGATGGGCTAACTTCAAAAAATTTGGGATTTCAATGAGACGTTGTTCTGCTGAGCCACCCACACGCTGCTCGGGTACATTCCCACTTACACTTCCTTCATTGTCGTGCCGAACCGACCCAACGCCACTTTGGCCATAGATTGAGAGGCGATCCAAACTGCTCGGGCTTAGACTCCTCGAGCCAAGAAAAAGTCTTCTCTTACAGCTTCTGGGCGCTGGACGGTAAAGAACTTTCTTGATTTTCTATCAACCGTTGAACCGACTCCTTCCACCAAGCCGACTCCAACTACTTCACCGATTTTGATTTCTGTTCATGACGTGCCAACTGTCGAATTCCTTCCCAAAGTGATTCTTTCTGAAGCCAATGATGCAGGTCTACCTTTGGATGACCAAGCCGATTTGGCTCCAGCTGCTGAAACTTATGTTCATGTTGAGATAGATTCTCCAGAACCTGTTCATTCCCCTTTTCAAGAAGATGACTCAATCTTTGAGCTCGTCGAAGACCCTACCCCTAAAAGATGGAGGACATCCAAGCCCGAATTGAGCCTCCCACCCGAGTCTTCCAACCCTCCTTTTCGACCAATTCTTAGGGCCAAAAAGAGAAAAATTACTGTCAAGGAATCTACAATAGAAGATTTTAATGTTGCAATGGGGATTACCCGATGAGTGATTTTGCCTCGGGATTTGGCAATGAATGAGGCTCTTACTGACGATGAAGTGTCTCATCAAGCAATTCAACATATGGTCCTAATAAGTCTTGATTTTGACTTCCTTTAAGATTTTTACTCTTTCTTCAAATTTTTCTAAGTCTTTTTCTCCTTCATAACTTTTAAGGGTCTGTAAAAAGTCCATGAGGTCGGAGCTCAAATAGCTCGGAAAGATAAGGCAATGAAAGATGCCATCCATGCCCAAGCTTCAGCTCTGGCCAAGAAGGAGAGTGTGGACGAAGAGTATGCAAAACTCTACAAAAAAGTAAAGGTTCTGTAGGCTCAAAACCAAAGCCTGACAGAGGAGAACCAGAAGCTTTCTTTAGAGGTTGAGAAGCTAAAGGAGTCCGAGCACGAAGTCAGCATAGAACTTTCTCAATCCCAAGTTGACTATTTCACCCTCCTTGAAGAATTTGATTAGTGAAAAGAGAAAGAAGATGCAACTTATGATGAAGGAGTTGAGAAAGCGAAAAATGACTTTGCCTTGCAAATCCCTTAACTTCAAGTTGCTTTCTTCAGCAAGGGATGGCGTGTTGTGCTAGTTGTTGTAGGGTCCCTTCTACATTCGAACTCTTTTCAAGATATTCAGCTCCGAGCTCCTCTCATCCTCCTGCTCCTTAAGACACTTAGAAAACTTTTTGAATTTTTTGAAATTTCTGATGTACCTGCAATTTCTGATGTACCTGTTATAAGATCTTGTACTTTTTGAAGTTTAAATGAGAATGAGAATCGACTGTTATCATCTCTCTTTTTCATTTCTTAGAACGTCTGAGCAAAAAACTAATTTTTATACTTAGTAGAATTTTAGTCACACTTAAAGTTATGGCCCTGGTCAGCCCTTCTTCAAAGAGCTCAGTTCCTCAACAAGAACCTTTTTATACTTTAGAAAATATTTTAAGTCTCTTGAAGTTATGACCCTGGTCGGCCCTTCTTCGAAGAGCTCGGTCCCTCAGTGGGGATCTTTTTGTACTTAGAAAATTCTCAAGTCTCTTGGAGTTATGGCCCTTTCTCGGCCTTTCTTCACAGAGCTCGGTTTCTCAGTAGAGTTACTCAAAGTCCCCTTGAAAACTAAGAGTGTTTCTACTCCGCACCGACCCGCCAATCTAATTGGACTCAAATCCATCCCTAATCAGCTTACATCATCATGCCTAGCTGAGGGCTTGGATTTGATCGGGTGGCTACGCATGATTTAAGCTTTTGACTTCTATCAGGTTTTTTGGCCTCCCTACCTTAACAGTAGGATGTATATAATGCAAAACAAGTGTAAAAAAAAGAATCCTCGAATTTTTATTGATAACTTCGACTTGATACATTCGCTGTTAATATATCATCATTTCAGGGGCACCCTTAAATTTTTGAAGACACTTCGAAGTTCTATTAAAAATGTACTTTTTAGAAATAGAACTTTCTGAGGTTCATAGTGTTCCAAGGGCGCGGTACTGCCTTATGATTCAAGGTCTCAAGTTCGTAATACCCGTTGTCCCCAACTTTGACTATTCTGTATGGACCTTCCCAGTTTGCTTCGAGCTTCCCATGGACTGGGTTCTTAGCCGATCTCAATACTCGCTTGAGTACTAGGTCTCCAAGTGTGAAAGAACGAGGGTTTACATTATTGTTATAAGCTCGGGACATCTGATTCCAATATGAAGCCATTCTTTATGGCGACTTGCTTTTTCTTTTCCTCTGCCAGATCGAGATCTCATGTGATGACGACGTCATTAATGCTTCTCTCAACCAGCTCGGTTCTTAAGGTCGATAAACCGATCTCCAACGGAATAATAGCTTCCATCCCATATGCTAGGGCAAAAGGAGTCTCTCCAGTTGAGCGCCGAGGTGTGGTTTGGTACATCCACAGAACACTTGGCAACTCCTCTACCCATCTTTCTTTGGCATCCTCCAGCCTTTTCTTGATTCCATCTAAGATTGTTTTGTTAGAGATCTCTGTTTATCCATTACTTTGAGGGTACGCAGGGGTAGAGTAATAATTTCGAATCCCGAAATACTAATAGAAAATTTTGAAAGGATGGTTATCGAACTGTGTGCCATTATCTGAAATGAGCGTATGTGGGAACCCAAATCTGGTAATAATATATTTCTAGACAAATTTCCTTATATCAGTATCTCTGATGTTGGCTAGGAGCTCGGCTTCCACCCACTTAATGAAATAATCAGTTGTAATAAAAAGGTACTTCTTGTTGCCTTGTGCCCAAGGAAATGATCCCACTATG